ATTTGGAGTCCACAGCACGGGTTTCCTGTGTTTGAATACATAATAGTATGAATCCTCCATTGACCACATTCCTACGGCAGGATTAAGCAGAAATGTCTTCAAGAAATACTTCCTTGCCTGATTGATGTGGCTCAATGGATGAGTATCAACCCATGAACCAGGAGGTCACATGGGTTTGATTCCCGGTCAGGGCACATGCCTGGGTTTCAGGCTCGATCCCTAGTAGGGGAAGTGCAGGAAACAGCCAATTGATGATTCTCATCCCTGATGTTTCTCTCTCTCTCTCCCTCTCCCTTCCTTTCTCTGAAATCAATAAAAGCATTAAAAAATACTTACTTGATTGAGGAATAATCACTGGCAGGAGAAGCGGGAATTGATTGGTACCAGTTAGGATTTGGGCGAGAAGAGAAGCAAATGAATGCCATTCTGGAAGGTGGGAAGATGGGTCCATTACGGAGTTGATGAAATAAACAGCTGTAGGATTTCGTGTCCTGGGATAACAGGGCACCCACAGGCTTCCTTTTCATAGAGTGAGAAAGCAGAAGGTTCTCCTGCTACATACAGCAATGTGAGAACAGGGGTTCTGTGGAGACGCAGAGGGGAGCAGAGGTGGGCAGGAAGAGCAGTCTGTGCTTGCACCTTTTTAAAAAGCTCCTGAGAGCCCAGCCAGTGTGGTTCAGTGGTTGAACATCGACCTATGAACCAGGAGGTCATGGTTCAATTCCCAGTTGGGGCACATGCCTGAGTTGCAGACTCAATCCCCAGTGTGGGGTGTGCAGGAGGCAGCTAGCTGATCAATGATTCTCTCTCATCATTGATGTTTCCCTCTCTCTCCCTTCCTCTCTGAAATCAATTTTTAAATAAAAAGCCCCTGAGGGAATTCTGTCTCTGGGCTGGAAACCGTTGCACAGTGCTTGGTTGGTGCTTTCCGCAGGTCTGAGAAGTGATACTGCCTCTGTTCAGCAGTGGGTGCAAAGTTGTTACTTTTTCTTTTTTAAAAACAGGAAAGAACAGAGAGTTCCCAAAGTGTCCCATCCCTCTGTGTTAAAGTCAAATGGCAGCAAGGCATTTTAAAGCAATGTCGTATAGTTGGATTACTATGACTGTATGTTAACTATTGAAGGTTATAGCAAATAACCTTCAAAACTTCGTGGCTGGAAACAATATGTGAATATTACTGCGTTTGAGTCCACAGGATTGCCAAGTGATTCTTTCTAGAGAAGTAAACTGGCACATTCCCTGCATCTGTGGCTGGCTGTGGGTTGGTGGGCAGCTCTACTGTTCTTGGAGGAACTCTCGCACATTTGGGGTTGGTTGGCTGGCTAGAGACTGGTCCTCCTCTGTGTGGTCTCTCGTCCTGGAGACCAGGCAGACTGGGCTGTTTGCATAGCAGTAACAAGGTTACCATAGAGTGAGCGGAAGTGTGCAAGGTCTCTGAGGGCTAGCCTCAGGACTGGCACATTCTGTTAGATGAAGCAAGTTCCAAATCCAGCCCAGATTTCAGAGATGGGGAAACAGGCCCCTTGATGGGAGATGCTGCAAAGTCTCATTGCAGGGAATATGGGCGCGAGGGAGCAGTGCAGAAATGCAGCACAGCTATTTGTACAAACATGAGTCATATCACTGACCCTGCGTTGTGCATTATTTACATCTTTGGTCAACACTGATGCTACCCTTTTGGAAAAAAGCGGTGTGTTTTGGTCTTTGGAGCTCTGGAGCAATTCAGGCATGAGGTGTGCAAATGGGTACATTTTGAGTGCACTGATAGGCTAATAAGGGTAAACATTTCTGGGTTGTGCTGAGCAGTATCTAGTGGCATCAGAAGGTAGTGGTCACTGTTTACTTTTCTGATTCAAGTGGGTGTTGTGTTTTTTGGTTTTTTTATTTTTATTTTTTGTTTTTGGTCTTGAAAGGTGATTTATTCACTATAAGAGTTCCCTTTTAGTTCTTAATTAAATTAAGCAAGAAGCTTACTATGAAATGCTATTTGCAGGGTGGCTTTTATACTGGAGTGTTTTACTTTTTCCTGATCTAAAATGGTCCACCTTCCAACAGAAACAGACTTATACATAGAAAAAACAAACTGCTGGCTGCCAGAGGGGAGGATGTTGGGGGACTGAGTGAAAAAGGTGAAGGGATTGACAGGTAGTTACAAAATAGTCCTGGGGATGTAAAGTACAGCATAGAGAATATAGTCAATAACACTGTAATAACTGTATGGTGCCAGGTGGGCACTGCAAATATCAGGGGGACACTTTGTAAAGTATATGCTGTACACCTGAGATAAATACAAAATAATATTGAATATAAACGGTAATTGAAAAAAATTTTTAATTAAAAAAAAAGTCTACCTTCCAAAACTGCCCATTGCAGATATGAGCAAAAATATAATTTTACACAAAGAACATTTGTTTCTCTTATAATGCAGTATTTCAGGACTTGGTCCCCTCTCTGTGCCTTTTCCTTTTTTTTATTTTTTTGAAATTGTGCCCTGACCAGGAATTGAATCAGTCACTTCTTGGTTCATGGGTTGCCGCTCAACCCCTGAGACACACTGGCTGGGCTCCTTTTTTAAAAAACCTTAAACTCTAAACTATAGAATTGGACTCCTTGACCAGAAGGTTTACAAGCCAGTTCATCTTTGTTCTAGAACTCTGGGTGGCCTACATTTTTCCATCTTTAGTCGTCTTGTTCTTGAATGAAAGATTACTCCTTACATGTTAGTATTGTTCACTCGCCCTCTTGTGTCCATAGAGATTGTAGCACTCTCTATGGGTTGAATGAGCAAGTTTATCATGCAGAAATACAGCATTTTCTGCTTAGAGAGCGTACTCGTGGCTGCCAAATATGGTTGTACAGCTTAGTAAACACTGGGAAACAACCCCAGCCCAAGAGGTAAAGGAAAGGTCATTGAAACCTCTGCACATTTTACTTGTTAAGCCATGCATCCTATGTCCAGGCTGTATCTTCCCAGAGGGTTGCCCATTAAAATCCATTCAGGGGTGCCTGCCATCCAGGCTTGTACCACCTGGAGTGAGCAACATTCTCTCCTGTATACGAACTTCTGTACAGTCTTGTGGAGGCTCAGATGAGTTAATTGGAGACTGCTGTCCACATGTCACTTTCCTACTCAGAAATTAAAATCAGACTGTTAGAGCTGAATGACATCACTTAGCCCCAGGTTATCAGAGGAAGGGATTAAGGAACAGAGAGGCAAAATGAGAAGTGGCAAATTGATTAGTGGTAATACTGAAATGTGGCCTTCTGGCCAGTTCATGCTCTGAAGTCTTACTTTTAGCTTCAGGTGACCCCTGTATTTGACCCCACATTACCTATCCAGGTGTTTGCTGAGTGAATGACGACCCAACTGTATTTCTAAGACGACCCAACTGTATTTCTAATGTTTCTTTGCCCCCACCTCCCAAAACTCCCACTCTCCATGCTGTATCTATTCCTACTACACCCCTTTGTTCATATTTACTGTTCCTATCTGTAATGCTCACTGCTCTTTACCTGGTCAATGCTTAGTCCCAGGTCCACTTCCTCTGAGAAGCTGTCCTCCCCCAGCCTTCACTAAGCCAGAAGAGGAAGGGCCATGAGGCTGAGCACAGGTGTTCAGGTTTAGTTGAAGAGCAGTGGCCGGGATGCAGGACCTGCATTCTAGGTCTGCCAGGAGATGGCTGTTTGATCTTGAATAGATGCCCCCACCTCTCTGAGCCTCATTTTGCTCTGCCCAATTATGAAAGCATCGGACTACATTGGTGTTTGTGGCTGAGTGTGTGGCATGAATAGTGCTGGTGAGGTGGTATTAAGTGGTTCGTGGACAAGTATTTTGGGCATGTTAGTAGAAATGAATCTGTTTCATTAAACCCATCGTTCCCTAAATATTATTATACTAGAGGCCTGATGCACAAAAATTCATGCAAGAGTAGGCCTTCCTTCCCCCAGCTGCCGGCACTGGCTTCCCTCTGGCACCCGGGACCCAGGCTTCCCTCCTTCAGCCGCCAGTAGGCAACCCAGGACCCAGCTGGCTTCCCTCCGGCCCCAGCGTCATCAGGAAGGACATCCGGAATGATGTCCGGTCTAATTAGCATATTACCCTTTTATTATTATAGATGTGACAAGGCTAGATATTTTAAGTTTGAAAGAGAATTGATTTAAGGAAAACTCTGATGTAAACAAGTAGTAATCATGTGACAGAAGTGGTAAGTATCAAAGTGTGGAGGTTTGTGAAGCTCCAGAGGAGTTTGTTATCACTGTTAGCAGCTGATGACAATATATCTTCTCTCCTTGTTACAGCTGCATCTGGTTTGTTATCACTGCTAGCAGCTGATGACAATATATCTTCTCTCCTTGTTACAGCTGCATCTGGTATTCCCCGATCTTCACCACACGGATTGTGGTATAAAGTACAAAACAGGTCTTTAAAAAAAGACTTGTGGCTTCCCTGAGCTTTGTGTTGCCTCCATCGTTTATAAAAAGCATTGACCCAGAGTGTTCAAAACCATGTTCACTTTTATAAATGTAGATTTTTATTTATAAAAGTCACTTAGACTCCTTATGTAAAATTTGGAAATACAAAGAAGCAGAAAGGAAGAAAGGCGGCATCCATATTCTTACAATCCAACAATGAACCCTGTTTATATCCCTCCACAATTGGAAGTTGTCCTGCAAAAAATCCTAGCAAGTGGGGATCTATTTCTGTTCAGCATTATGGGAAATTGGAATATTCCTGATTTAATATATTTTTGTCATCACAAATCATAAAATCAAAAAAATGTCAATGTGGAATCCAGGGATGGGGTCCAATGGCATGCTTATCAGCAGCAGTTAAATAACTGCCACAGAGGTGACCCGTTCTGGGAGAGGCTACTGCAGGTCAAGGGTAACAACTGATATTCTTTGCAACGTGCATCATGTGTCTGAAGCTCTTTGCTAATAACGGTGGCCAAATATTTCACGTGTGTGTATGCTGACTTGCCGATTTGTCTCTCCTGCAGGGTTTTTAGAGTCTCTGGACGACTTTTACATTCTTAGCAGTGGTTTGGTACTGCTGCAGACCACCAACAGCGTGTATAATAAAACCCTACTAAAGCTTGTGACACCCGAGGCTCTCCTGGCCTGGCAGAGAGTCCGTGTGGCCAATATGATGGCCAGTGATGGCAAGCAGTGGGCAGAGATATTTTCAAAGTACAACTCTGGTAAGCGGCCCCGCAGAGTACCTTTTCAGGAATATACATATGTTTGGATTTTGAGTTAACCAGTAAAGCCTTACCCATGCCCTGCTTCCTGTCTCTCCCATTTCTCAGGCACCTATAACAATCAGTACATGGTCCTGGACCTGAAGAAGGTCAAGCTGAGGCACAGCCTTGACGCAGGCACTCTGTACGTTGTGGAGCAAATTCCTTCATATGTAGAATATTCTGAACAAACTGATGTTCTACGGAAAGGTACCTTCTTCATACTAGAAGTCGGAAGGATGATGAGTGTGTGTGTGTGTATGTGTATACATGGTGGGGAACGTGTGGTGTGTGAGTGTATGATGGAGGAGCGTGTGCTGGGGAAGAAAGGATGGGAATGCCACTGCTAGTTACACTGGGAAAGAATTTCCAGGTTCAGCACAATGTATAAAAGCTGCACTTCGAACTCTTAAGTGACCGTGTGTAGACTGGGACAGACCAGGCATTCACCATCTTATGACTGTCATGGCTCCAATATTACCTCCTCTCCTGGGTTCCCGAGTTAAGCTTTTAGTTCAATTCAGTAAATATTTATGGGAGCACCATGCTGGCCCAGGGACCAGAAGAGTACAGATGCAGGTACAAAATCCCTGACCTTTAGGAACTCACAATCTGGTAGGGAAGCAAGGGACAGAAAGCAGCCATTTTAGCACCCAGACACCAAAGAACGATGATAAACAGATTTAACTAAAGATTTCACAAACCCCAGTGGTGAAACCAAAGGAGCCGTTATCAGTGGGAGGAGTCAAGGGAGGTGGTTCTGGAGGACAAGAACGTAGCCCAGATGTTGAAGCCCAGGTTTTGGAGTCACACTGTCTCGATGTGAATCTCTGCTCCTCAGAATCTCAGGCAAACTATTCACTCTCTCCAAGTCTCACTTTCTTCATCTGCAAAACATGACAGTAATGGGACAGGTCCACAGTCAAATTTTTAATTTTGAATTCTCAAAATCTCAAAACTCTAAAACCAAGGTTTGTTTGTGTTTTGTTTTGTTTTTTTGTGTTTTTTTTTGGGGGGGGGGGGCAGGTGTCCCTAATCACTTGATAGCAAAAAATGACCTGATCTGAACTTATTTGGAAACAAGAGCTTGAACCGTCTATTTATATCTTTGTTCCCTCTTCTCTAGAGAGACTGTTTATATATTAGGCTACAGAAATATCACTCTGTGTGTGTGTGTGTGTTAATCCTCACCGGAGGATATTTTTACATTGATCTTTTAGGGAGAGTGGGAGAGAGAGGGAAAGACAGAAGGAAATATGGATGTGAGAGAACCGCATCAACTGGTTGCTTCCTGCCCTGACCAGGGCCCAGGCTGGGGAGAAGCCTGCAACCAATGTACGTGCCCTTGACCAGAATCAAACTACGTGCCCTTGACCAGAATCAAACCCAGGTCCCTTTAGTCCGCAGGCAGATGCTCTTTACACTGAGTCAAACCCTAGTGCGGAAAATCATTCTTTGAATACTAGGTGCTTCCCACAGAGACTGCAATGCCATATCTAATATATGTATGCCGTTGCTGTTCTAAAATATAAAAAAAAACCCTGAATTCTGCCCTAACCAGTTTGGCTCAATGGATAGAGCGTCGGCCTGAGGACTCAAGGGTCCCAGGTTCGATTCCAGTCAAGGACATGTACCTTGGCTGTGGACACATCCCCAGTAGGGAGTGTGCAGGAGGCAGCTGATCAATGTTTCTCTCTCATCGATGTTTCTAACTCTCTATCCCTCTCCCTTCCTCTCTGTAAAAAGTCAATAAAATATATTTAAAACAACAACAAAAAAATAAAAACAAAACAAAACACCTGAATTCTGAAACACATCTGGCCCCCAAGAGTAAACCTTTATAATTTCACAGGGTTGTAAAAAAGATTGAGAAAATTCTTGTAAATTCTTGAGCACATTGCTGGATTTATGAGCACACACAGTAAGTCCTTGCTGAATATTTGTTGAATAAATGAAACTGAAGATGATGTTTGACTGGGGGTTTAAAGCCCAAACAGGAGCTCACTAATTTGACAAGGTCAAGCAAATGAAGCGTGAGAACTGGTGTGACTGAGAAACTATTAGCTTAAGATAGCCAAAGGAAAGGCTATGAAGTGTAAGATAGGTAGTCAGGGGAAAATATCAGCCTTGTATAGCCTGATAAGCAGTTTAGCCTTTATGCTTTAGGACACGGACGTTTCTGAAAAGGGAGGGTAGACTGGAGATCAGAGAGAAGACAGGAGATCAATTAGGAAACTATTGAAATAGATGGGCTGACGGATGAGTAGGTACAGAACCAAGATAAGGTATCGACCCTGGGGATCATGGCCTGGTCCTCAGTTTCCCAGGTCCCCAAATCAACTTTGTAATGACGCCTGGAGTGAGCCATCTCAGCAGGAATGGCTCACATCAATGACGTGTACACTATATGCATAAAGCAGAATTAAGGTGGAAACTTCCATTGCCAAGCAGATATGACCGGGGACCAGCCCCAGCGGTCCAGGGGTTCCCAAAGGTGTGGACGGAGTCGGCGAAGAATGTTTTACACGGCGACAGCATTCAGAACTCTCTAGCTCTCTTTAGTCTCCGTGGATCTTCCTGTGCCTGGCTGAAGCCACAGAGAAAGATCCTGAGGCAAGCTGAGCCTTTATTTTTATAGTCAGAGGTAAACAAGGTAGTGGTTACCAAAGTTACACTGTTCTTGTGAGTTTCACTTGTTTACACTGTTCTTGTGAGTTTCACTTGTTTTTGTTCTTGTTGCACTTCCCTCAGCCCATTAGCTTCCCAGGTAAGTTCCCTCAGCCCATTAGCTTCCCAGGTAAGATCTAAGAGGACTGTGCCTTCTAAGCTGGGACTTGTTTGTGACTTTGCCAACAGGTCAATCTGATGTTTGTGACTTTGCCAACAGGTCAATCTGAGGCTTAACCCTATATCGGCTCCCCACAGTAGACGAACGTCCTTTTTGGGGAAGAAAAAGTCACCTGAGAAGTTAAATCATTAGTTGGTTACTTGGTTAGCATGACAATTCGAAACTGAGACCCTCGTGGTCTGACCTTGAAGGCTGGTCCATCCAGCTCTTAAGAGCCTGACAGTAACAGCAGGCCTCCAAAGAGAGATCTGAGTGGTGATGTTCCTTTGTTGACTGATCATCCAGGCCAGTATAATCTGGGATGTTCCTGAAATGATTTTACTATGGTTGTGTCACATGTTTGATGCTTAGTGACTAGTGGCCTTGGCACACTTCCCAGTTTTGAATGAAGCTGAGCCTTTCTGAATGCTTAGCAGTGGTTCTCAACCTTCCTAATGCCGCGACCCTTTAATACAGTTCCTCATGTTGTGGTGACCCTCAATTTCATTGTTACAAATTGAACATAATTAAAGCATAGTGATTAATCACAAAAACAATATGTAATTATATATGTGTTTTCCAATGGTCTTAGGCTACCCCTGTGAAAGGGTTCGACCCCCACAGGGGTCGCGATCCACAGGTTCAGAACTGCTGGCTTAGAGTCAAAGGAGTTGAAAGCCTACTGGAACCTTAAAGATCATCTCCATTCCCCTCATATTACTGACTCTCCTTTTCCCTCCCACTGCTAAAAAAAGGAAATGAAAACAACAAACAAAAAAACGATGTTAATTAACTACCTGAGACCTAGTTGTTGAGCCCTGAGCCTAGAATCCATCCAGGTTTTCTGATCCCCAGCACTTTGTTCCTCCACTTTCCTGGCATATTATATTCCCTGTTCGGACCACGCTGTGAAACCATCTTTTGGCATTTCACTAACCAAGTCCACTGAAATGAGCTCCCCAGACCACTTGGTGTTATACTTCATTTTGCTCTATAAATGCTAAGGTTATTTCCTGGTTAAGAGATTGCTTTAAGGATTTTGGGTGAAAACCAAAGAATTCTGGTGCTCTTTCCCCCTAATGGAATAATCTAGAGGTATACCAATTCTGTAAATTATAATGGTTTGACTGCCAGGGTTCACAAAGTTTTATTTTTTATATAATATCAATATCATGTAATTACACACCAATGCCAGGTTTCAAAAGAAACTACCATAACATTTCTTTTGTTCCCTCTCTTTCCTTTTCTGTCTCCCTCCCTGTCAATCCCACTCTTCCTTCCCTTCCATTCCAAATCAGGATATTGGCCTTCCTACAACGTTCCTTTTCATGAAAAAATCTACAACTGGAGTGGCTATCCATTGTTAGTTCAGAAGCTGGGTTTGGACTACTCTTATGATCTGGCTCCACGAGCCAAAATCTTCCGGCGTGACCAAGGAACAGTGACTGACATGGCATCCATGAAATATATCATGCGATACAACAGTACGTAGCACATTTCTCAGGAATCATTCTTCAAAACTCCTTTTCTTCCCCATGGATAAAGAATCCATGTAAGTTTATCATCTCTGTACTAGAAGGAATTATAAGAATGAATTAAGTATTTTGTATTCAATTCATATTATACATATTTTATACTCAACACATAAAATTTTGTTCACCTTCATAAAATGACAGGGAAAGATTCTATAGATTTTTTTTTAATTGAAAACTTGTATGTGAAACACAGAAAAACCCATACGATGTACTTTTTTTTACTATCACCCCTCAGCCCCCAAACACAGGTTTCCTTCCAAGGACAAAAGCAGCCAATAAAACAAAAATTATTCATAAATACTTTATTTTTTAACAGTATCAAAATCAAATTTGTAATTATTTTGTGGAAAAAAAATTGATGCACATTTATCCTGTTAATCTTTCATCCACTCTTCACTGTGCAAGGTTCTTGAGAACAGGCTGGGCCTGGAGCAGGGAACTTACAGTTGCCCCTTCCTAGTACAAGCCAAAGGAGACTTCTGTATCCCGGAGCACACTGGGCTGCAGAGGCCTCTCTGATTATCTAGCTTTTAACAGGTCCAAAAATTTCACTGTGGATCAGTGTTACCTCAGCATAGTCTGTGCTCACTCTTGTCCCAATCTCTGTTTCCTAGATTATGAGAAGGATCCTTACAGTAAGGGTGATCCGTGCAACACCATCTGCTGCCGTGAAGATCTGAACCCATTTGACCCAAGTCCTGGAGGTTGCTATGATACGAAGGTAACATGCTACTGACTTTTGAATTTAATTTCCGCCAGCACCTACACCTATTTAAAGGCAAAGCTGCAAAGGTTTTGGTGGCATAGAGCACAACAATGTTTCTACCCATTACTTGATTCAGGGTTCACCTTTTTCAGATATTCTGGTGATAGGTGCCATTGCCTAACTTCAAATCCCTGCTCTGCCACTTAACCCACTGTACGCCATAAGCGTCTGTAGAGCAAGCGGTGGACCTTCCCCACACACCACGCGCATCTATAAAAAAAAAAAGTTTTCCCTAAGTGGCAGCCCTGACCAACTTTAAAATAATTTTTCTTGAGAATTTTCAGCTGAAAATATTCAAGAACACCCGAATTATGAGTAATATATTTATTTTTATAACTAGAGGCCTGGTGCAAAATTCATGCATGGGTAGGGTCCCTAGGCCTGGCCAGCAATCAGGGCCAATCAGGGCCTTCCGGCTGTCAGCCGGGGCCTTCCTTTGTTCCACGCTGCCCCCTGGTGGTCAGCTCACGTCATAGTGAGCGATCAAACTCCCAGTCTAACTCCCGAGGGGACACTTTGCATATTAGCCTTTTATATGTATAGATATTCACTGCAAATTGATTTTTTTTTTTAATATATTTTATTGATTTTTTACAGAGAGGAAGGGAGAGAGATAGAGAGTCAGAAACATCGATGAGAGAGAAACATCGATCAGCTGCCTCCTGCACATCTCCCACTGGGGATGTGCCCGCAACCCAGGTACATGCCCTTGACCGGAATCGAACTCGGGACCTTTCAGTCCGCAGGCCGACGCTCTATCCACTGAGCCAAACCGGTTTCGGCTGCAAATTGATTTTAAATTAAATTCAAAATATCGTGGCATGTGGGGATGGTTTCCGTTTTGGACATGTGGCAGTTAACTGTTAATAGTAAATCACATAATCTTATAATGCTTCTGTTTCCTCATCTGTAAAATGGAAGTAACAGTACTTGCCTCATATGGCTGTAGAGAAGAACATTTAATATCTATAGAATGTTTAGAACAGTACTTAGTGGGTTATTTGAAAATGTACACATCATGATGATGTTGGTGGTAATAATGTGGATGTCTAAAGTTTTCCAGACTGGCCCAAAGTCCAAAGAATATATTGAGAGCAGTGTGATTTTAAATAGAAATTTAATTTAGCTGAAGGAACAAGTATTGAACCAGACACAAAATCATTAAAGGGTTTTTAGTTTTTAGCATGCTAGAATTGATAAGTGCTACAATGTATCTTATAAGTAATATGTTTGCAGTGGTGGTCTGAAATAGCTCATATAGATATGAGGACCAGTTGTTAAAATCAGTTGACTGTGTTGATAGCTTGAATTCGGCCATGGTGGGAGTATTTACACCATGGAAATCAGCAAACATTACAAATCAGGGCCTTTTTTTCCCCCTCACAGTTAGTTGTTAAAAAATTTACCTGGATACTCCTGGGTTTGGGAGATCCAAGGGGGTAAGCTAGTTATTTTAGTTGGTGGAGAGAATCATTTTACCACATCCTTTTGTACTTTTGGTTTGGGCATGTGTCTTTTCATTTGCAACTCCAGTCCTAAATTCTGGAAGAAATCTGTGAGAAGAGTTAACTGTTCTATCTTCAGCTCTGAAACTGTAAGAATGTCAACGGCCCCCCCCCCCCCACACACACACATTTTTTTTTTCTATCAGCCTAAAGCCTAAATAGGAGATGCTTTAGAATAGCCTGAGTTCCAGCTCACCCTACATTATAGGTATGTGATGATGGCAAAACTTTAGCCTTAATGACTCTCAATATGTTAGGAAATGCAAATAAATAAATAAATAAATAAATAAATAAATAAATAAATAAATAAAGGAATCTAACAAGCAAAATAGATACAAACAGAGCAGGCTGACAGCTGTTGGAGAGGAGGGGTAATGGAGGACTGGGTGGGGCATGGTAGAGGGATTGAGGAAAAAAAGAGAAAAAACTCATGGACAAGAACAACACTGAATTGCCAGGGGGAGGAGAGTATGGGGGGGATAAATGGTGATAGGAGGATACTTGACTTGGGGTGGTGAACACAATACAGTGTACAGATGAGTTGTGGAACTGTGTACCTAAAACCTATATAAATTTTAACCAGGATCACCCCAATAAATTCAATAAAAAGGGAAAATTAGTGGATAGAGAGCTTGGCACACATGAAGCCCCAATGAATGTTTTTGTATTTATTTTTTATGGCATTTGCAAACATTCAGTGAAGTGTGTAACATGTTATATCCATTCCAGAATATACAGAGAATTACCCTCTGCTGCCTTGCCTAGAATCCAAGCCGACCTGCCATTTGTCAGATTTTACTTCCTTCTGGAAACACAGGAGCCTGCCAATTTTTCATCAAAAAAAAGTTCTGTTGAGGATATACTTTAAAAACATTTCTCTTGAGCCATTTTGAATATAGGAAAAATCCTAAGTTATGAGACATTTTCCTCTTTCCCCTCTAAGGTTAACAACTGCTGCTATCCATTGTTTAGGTGTTTTTGAGAACCATGGGCATTTTTTGATATTGAGCTCCACTTTATAACTTGCTACCGTACTGATTAATAAAACTTTTATTGAGGAATTAACTTTTTTTTTGGCACTGCACCAAGCACTTACTTTCATTAAACTTCATGACAACCCTTCTGTGAAGTAGGGTTATCAGCCTACTTTACAGCTGAGAAAACTGAGCCATACGGAGGTTATTTTTTTAATAAATTTTGGAGCTAGAATTTTGATTATGAGTAATGGATTACAGATCTCACACTTTGGCTACATTGCTAATACCCTCCTACTATTCAATTCATATGTGAATGCCAAATGAAGACAGAATAGCAGATTGTGGAAGTTGGCAAGATTTTGTTCTAAAGGGGCTAATATTTTGACTTTGGAAATGGGTTGGAGGGGGAGGAGAAAAAATAGGGATTTAGTCAATTTTTTCTCCAAATTGTTTTTCTAAAATGTCTCCCTCTTCTCTTTCCAGGTGGCAGATATGTACCTAGCATTAGAGTACACAGCACATGCCATTAGTGGTCCCACAGTACAAGGTGGCCTCCCTGTTTTTCACTGGAAGCGGTTCAACAAAACTCTCCATGAGGGCATGCCAGAGGCCTACAACTTTGATTTTATTACCATGAAGCCAATTTTGAAACCTGACATAAAATGAAGGGCGATAAGAAAATAGAAGGCTGCAAATAAGATACCAAAGGCACTATTTTAGCTATGTTTTTCCATTCACAATTAGTCTTAATAAAACGTATTAAATTTAGTCTGTTACTGTCATTCCCCACTGTTGACTGTGTAGTTAACAAGCATTCACTGTAGAAGAAACATTACACATGATTAACGACACTAGAATTCAGCATACAAACTTATATACAAGAGGGTATGGCAGCCCTAGCTGGTTTGGCTCAGTGGATAGAGCTTCGACCTGTGGACTCAAGGGTCCTGGGTTTGATTCTGGTCAAAGGCACACGCCCAGGTTGTGAGCTCAATCCCCAGTAGGGGGCATACAGGAGGCAGCCAATCAATGATTCTCTTTCATCATCCATGTTTCTCTCTTTCTCCCTCTCCTTTCCTCTCTGAAATCAATAAAAAATATATATATTTTTTAAAAAGAGGGTATGGCAGAAACTGTTCCGTTACTCATCAAAATCCATATTCTTTTATGCCTGGCCACACAGACCACATATCCCAGGTTCCCTTAGGTAGTTGTGCCACATGACGAGTTCTTATCAGTGGAATCTGACATGAGTGCCTGTTTCAGGCCTGGCCCCTAAGAACCTGTGCTCCTCCATGCTCTTTCCCCTTCCTTCCCTGGCTGGATATACTTAGTGACAAAGCCCAAAGGAAAGGTGGAGCTGTGTTTCCAATGGAACCTCTTACAGAAATGTAGGGAGTGATATTTCTGGCATTAACAGGTATCAGTTGAGTCTTTTTGTGGTGCAAGCAAACCTTAATGTTGTCTCCCATTACTGAAAAGCAGCACATCTCATCTGAGAGCAACTCTGTAATAGCTTTTCTTTCAAAGTTTGAGAACTGTGTGTACTTTTAGTGCTGTGGTATTGTCAAATAGGCTAAATAAACCATACTGTACAGTCTAATGAGTGATCCTTAACAAAGTGAGAGACTTTCGAAAGAAACAAACACAAGGAGCAAGAATAATCAGAATGAATCAGAGTACTCAGCATGTTAAAAACCCATAGTTTATTTCAAAGTATAAATTTCAGGCTTGCTGGACAAATCCCACTACAGTTAACACTTAAACAGACACCAGTCTACTGTACATTTAGAAAAGAAAAAAAAAACACAAAAACCTTTAAAACCTAATAAAAACAGGACAACTTGCTATAGCCCAGTTTATATTAGACATTAGGAAGATCTTAACATTGTCTTATTATTTACACTTTCAACTGCAATAAAGAAAAATCAGAATGCAAGTTTCCTACAAAGTATTTTTATATTAACTTTGAAATGGCTGATGAAATACTAAAGCCAAGATTTCCAAAAGGTGTTTGATTGCCCAGTTACCTTATTTACAAACAAAATAAAAATAAAAAAGACAGCATTTAAATATAAATGCTTGGTATTTAGCTGACTCTACAAATTAAAAAACTTATTTAGCATGATAAAACTATTTGTATGGTCCTATTCCTCCCCATTGGCTGGCTCAAGAGAAATAGATTTCAGGAATTACATAAGTCTGCCACACTAACAAAACTGCTCATAAGAATTGTTCTAATCTTTTCCTTTGTCCCAAAATGTAAAAAAAAGGGGAGGTGGGGTGGGAGGACGGGACACATCATTTGCCCAGTAAGGAAGGCAGAATCATACATTGATCTAATACTGAGACTTGATTTTTCTGGAAATTAGAATAAAACAGGCCAATAACAACAACTGGCCAATAATAAAACAACGAATGAATCATAAGATACTGAAATAACCCAAGGTTTTTGCAGTACTCTAACAGTGCTAAGATCGTATGTATAAAAGCAAGAGAGGACGATACCACAGGCATTATTTTGTTAATCTTGTATAGTACTGGGAAATTCGTGGAACAAGATAAATGCATGTCATGCAATATTAACACTCACCTTGTTGCATAAATAATTCAGAAAATATAACCAAAAGAGAACAAAAACTTAGCTAACACTTATGCAATACAGTAAGAGAATTCTGTATGGTGCAGCCCACCTAAGGAGTTCTGTAGAAATGTACCCCTGATTCTAAGCTCCTTGCTCTAGGACTTGTTTTTCAAATAAACCTTTCATTTACCTGACATTGGGGGTGGGGAGAGTGGGGAACATCTCAGTGTGAGGCAAATGGTACCCCAATAAATATCTTTTAAGAAAGCAAGCTCTCTTCACTCTTCTCATTTTCTACTGTGTTAAACAGTACACAGTATTCTGCATATTTTAAAAAGTGAGTCCAGAGAAATAGAGGGATATAGTTACCTCATCAAGTTAACTGTTAATAACATGTTATCTTTATATGTAATTTATAAATTTACTGGCAATAACAATTTTGGAAAGAGGCTTACACCTTAAATAGGGCGAAAATTAACAGATACAAAGTAAAGAGTAACAAACATCACTGTTATCTTTAAATGCCACGTAACCATTTTGGGTTGAAATTTCATAAATTTCCAGGATTTCCAATAAAGTGACATTTAACACAAGTATTGTCAGGCTAAAAAATTTAGTAAACTTGCATTCCCAAAATGGGATAAACAAGCTTATTTGTAATACTCTGTGAAAAGGCACAACAAAATAAAAAAGGTATCATGGGGTGTGAACTGCTACAAAAAATCTGTAATCAGTAGCTATTTCTAGCTGAATCTTCCATTCTCTCTCCTGAATAAAAAGTGTCCATCAACATTAAAACCTGCCCCAAATAAAAGACTAGAGTTCTAGCCTACCACCTTTCAGTTAATCCAATATAGCTGCTGTTGCCTACAAATCCCATGTCAGACTAATTTGTTGAGGCCAATTTATAATATGCTTTTTCCTCAAATAATTACAATATTTCTTTGTACCTTCCTCCCACCATCAGGAATAAAAAATTATTTTACTGTAGCAAAATATTTTTAGGGTTACTGTTTGAAAATTTTTTTGACAGAAAACACAGTATACACTAAAATAATGTAATATTTCCATTTTACTGGGCTTTCTTCACAGGATTATATAGTGCTACAAAAACTCTTTTAAAAAGGGATTAGTGACTATAAATAGAAACATTCACCAAGGGAACCATTTCAAGGCTAGGTAGGCAAATTGTTATCACATGACCAAAAAAAGGCCAATAAAGAACAATTTTGAACATGAGCTTTCTATTCTGTAGACAGGAATGATCTTGAGCACATAATCAATGTTGCATCCACTGCAGGTAGAAACATATATACATGCAGGTATGGACAGGTATTCATATACATCTATCTCCCTTTCGAAATTTTCATTGGCATGACATTGGCAACTTCTTTACCATTGTCATTAGTCCTAGAATGAGTAATAGCTACATGGTTGGCAAATTTGATTCATGGAAACTTTAATTCTCATTGTGGCCTTATTTTCTGAAAGTGAAAGGAAGGTTTTGGAGCATTTATAATTTGGCAACCTGTAGGCTTTCTTCAGCATCAACCAAAATTCACACATAACATGACATACACTGACTGGTGAAAGTCTATTTAAAGACTTTACAACTAGAATGCTTCCAGTTTCAAGCCACCAATGTGGCAAACAAAGCATTAATGGAGAGGATGCTCCTTCCTATAATTACAGGAGGTATAATTTGAGAAGGTACAAATATGAATTCGAAGATGATAATTTCACGAACTCCATGAATTCCTTTCAAAATATTCCCAACCATACTCTCATCCCCAAGTGTACCCAGGAAGTCCTGTCCTACACTATCTACACTCAACTATCTGATACCAATAGAGCTCGCACTCGTATTGAAAATGCAGGACACCTAAGCTGACTTTGATTAACTTTGAAGAGGAACAGAGAACTAATTTATATCTAATTGTTACATAAACTGACCCCAAAGGATATGCTTTGAATTCTATCCAAAGCTGACATAGATAAATTACACAAAACTTGGCACCATCAAAACAAAGTTAAAAGTTAACAAAAGGAACAATGATACAATAAAGAGATAATGGATCTTTCCCTTTAATATTTTAGCTCACTGTATTTTGTAAATTTGACTATTTCCTTTGAAAGAATATTATGCTTTGGGTGATAAAATAAACTGTAAATGCTTTCATAATTTCTGACACTGTGTGAGCACAGATACTGAAATTTTTTAGGAAAAGTTTCTTATACAGTTTGGTCTTCTCTTGGTCTACTTTACATAAAGTAAATTTAAATAGTGACCAAAAATAAAAGCATTTATATTCTTAGGAGAAAATAGCAAGTGAAAATTTTGGAGTTAGATGTAGTAATGCCACTGATGAGAATATGTATAAAAGCCTTGTTTTAACATTTACTTGAGGGAGTGTGCTATATTTTGCGGAGATAAAGGAAAAATGAAGGGCTAAAAGCTGAAAGGAAAGAAACAGTGGACAAATGGCCATGTTTATTTTTGCAGTTAATGTTTAAGGCACAAAATAAATGTAAAAGAAAGATAGAAAAGGGAGGGGCCATTTAGATGTTTTCGCCTATTTAACAACCCAGAAGAGACAACAAAAGATAAAACAGATCCTTTCCTGTGTTCAAATTAACCTATTTTAAGCTCTTTAACCATTTTGCTTTTTATTTTTTTCTTTGGGTTTTGTTTAGATTCTGTTTAAATCATTTAACTATGAAACTACAGATCCCTTAGAAATAGAATCATGCCAGTTACATACCTCAGATGCTTTGCTCTACTTTATGCTAGAAGAGAGGTAAATTTGAGAATGAAAATGGGAGATTCCACTGCAACAAACATATATAAATAGGAAAAAAGAAAACCACACAAACACCCACACATATTATTCCCCAGCCTCAAGACTAAAGGAAGATGCACATTTACATTTCAAAACCTTGAAGCTTGAATTGTTCAGGAAAAGGTTCTTGCTTTATGAGCTAAGTTTATTTTATTCTGATTATAAACAAACGTAGTGTATATACACATCTGTCCAAGAAATCTCGCACAATGTAGATTTTTACAATGGGTATCATGCACAAGATTAAAATAAGACCAAAAAGTGGAACTTTTCAAAGAAGAGAGAAAGGGTCCAAGGTTTAACTGCTCTGGGAAGAAGAGATCACATCCGTTGACTGAGGATCG